GAATACCTAAGCCTGGAACACTTGAGCTTGAAGACTTTTGGATTAGCAGTCGCAGAGAGCACATATATGTCCAGCTTCCCTTTGTGTTTTCTACCAAAAGACACAGATGATCTGAGAAGGTCTACCACGTTTCTGTTGTCACCTGCTTCTCTCTTGAGATGACCATGTCCCTGCTGAGACTGAAATAATTTTTAAGTGCTTGTAGTTAACTTTAATGGTGTCTGAGTTACTTAGCTGTTATGGTTAGTTTTCCCCTGTTTCCTATTGGCAACTTTATTTTTTTTCCCCATTCTAAGGAGAAAAGAGAGAAAGCAGGATCTGTTGGACTTTGAATAACCTCCTCAGGTCATTGAATCAACTCATTTTTAAGTCAAGTCATCATGTTTCCCATATCTAAGGGAAAAAGATAATCTGTCTGCAAATCTTTTTACATGATGAACTCAAAAGGACAGAAGGGGAAGTCCACAGGTGTGTCCTCTGGAGTGCCCGTGTTCTGGCAGATGTAGCTGCTTGGATGTCCAGCATCATGCCCCGGGTGGTAGGATCTCCGTGGGTAAATCTGAGAGGAACTTTGGCTGCAAGCTCCCCGTGCTGACAAAGCAGAGGTAGCTCCAGGAGCAGACTCTATCCAAAGAGCTATTCTGGCCTCAAGTTGCTGGATCTTTGTTTAAATCTAAAGATGACTTACTTTGGTAAAAAGTCCATAAGCTGATTTTTAAAAGGGTATTATCCTTAATGTGACGCTGTCTGCAAAACCATCCGTTGTGACTAAAGGAGGTTTCTCGACCCATCAGATTAATTGCCAATCTGCAGAAATGTCTTCAGCATAAAACTTCTGCCACATTGTATTTTTATGAGAATTTACGATGGATAAATGATCTTGAACAAAGTAGCAAATGAGAAATGGAGTTCCATTAAGAGCTACTCAGTGAAGGAAATGTCTTTGCTCACAGCATTGTTTTACCATGAACTTCAAAAGTATTGCCTAAACAATTTCTACACAACTTCCTGTGGGCATTTAAAAATGAAAAGAGGATCCATTCTGAATCAGAAAAACATGCAGTTCTATGTAAAATGAAGCTCAGTCACTAATTTAAAAGAAAAACAAGGAGGAGGAAGAGAGCTTGGAAAATAAATTTGTTTAGTTTTGAAGTTTCATTAAGTTGTGTGTGTTAAAAAAATGTTTAAATATATCCTGAAAAACTCCTTTCAAAAGAAAAAAAATACCTGACATTTTCCAGTCATACAGTTCTTTAAATGTTTGGAGTTTCTTTTTAAATGGCATAAATGCATTTAAGAAGTTTGCTGACAAATGTGGCACATATTGTGTGTTTCAAAGCTACTAAGCACTAACACGAACATACTTTTGCAGTTGATGATGGGTGTCTAGAAAACACCCCAGACACAGCAGAGGTCAGCAGGGAATACCAGCTGCACCAACACCTTTTTGATCCAGAGCATGACTATCCCAACATGGGCAAGTGGGTGAGTACATGTTTCTTGCTTTTTTTTTTGTTGCATGTGAAACTGGATATTGTCTGCTGTGTGGGATGCTCTGAAGCCACAAGGAGAATATTGTGCTTAGTGCTGGAAAAATTGTCACCCTAAGGGAAACTTCTCCAAAAGGTGAAGGTAACTTGCCCTTAAAAAATACAGAAATAATGCCTGCAATCAATAAAAGCCCATAAAAATAGAAAGTAGAAATCCTTGTCTTATTACCCATCACAAAGCATAACAATTATGTTTGTGCTTGTTAAATGCAAAAAAACCACATTCCAAACTACAGTGAACATGTAACCAGAATTAGTGCAAAATTTAGCACAAGATTTCAAAACATCACAGGGCCCTAATTTGAAAGATTATCCAGGTTCAGTGACTATTCACTGTTCAGCTATTTAGAAGCTAAAAAAAACCCCCAAAACCAACCAACAAAAAAACCCAGTGCCTAACCACCTTAAAAAATCTAGATCCAGACAACTTGCTCTAAGGAATTGTCGCTGGTTTAGGATTTTGGAGGGCTTGATGCTGTTTTTCCCTCTATTCAGGTTGTGCACTATATTATACTGAAAATTTATTTTACATGTTGCATATAATAAATACAGCAAGCTGCACTAAGGGCAAAAATCTTGCTCTGAGCGTACAAGGACTTTAATAACTCCAGCTAGACTATTTCTGCAGGCTAGAGGCTCCAAAGAGAGCTCTGCCGCTTAATCTTAGATTACATCAGTTAAATGTCCAATCCCAAATCCATCTTCAGGCGCCAGGAAAACAATAACAGTGATCATAATTTATGCTTGTAGAGCAAATCATGAGATCTCATTTTACATTGTTATAACACTTGACTTAAGATTGCCCTAAACCAGTGCTCTGTAAGCATATATCGATAAATGGACTTGTTTGGCAGCCTCTTCTCCTGCTGTAATTGTGAGACAATGATTCATCGTTTATAATCAAACCAGTGTAAGATTTATAGTCTTAATTACTTATGTGAGTGCTAAATTTCTAGAGAGGATCATGCCAAAAATCCAAATTTTGGAAACTCTTGTAGCATTCTAAGTAATTAGCATCAAAGGTTTTCATTTTAAAAACACCAGATGGTGAACTTTCTTATTTATGCCAGATTATGCTGTTAGTTTTCTTATTATTCATAAGTAATTTACTTTCATAATACCATTTTGAAGACTATAAAAGCACTTCTGTAAATCTTTGGCCTATAGCAATATTTCAGAATCAAGCATACGTACTGTGTTGTCGTCAGCAACGTATATACTTAACAAATGGTAGGTAATCATTACTGAATACTGGCCTTTTTTCATTTCTCCATCCATCACTGCTAATTCAGGGGAAAAAACTGCTCACGCATGGATTAAAACAGATTCTTAGGTACTAAACAGTAATCATATCTAGCTGCAGTGTAGCCAACTCCAGATCTTTTTAGTTAGAGATGAAACAGCTGGTAATGTGCATGAGCAAATGTTCTGCCGAGATCCAGGAGAATCGCCCCAATTGCCTCCTCATTGTATATTACTATGCATTAAAAAGATAAATACAACGGTATCTGGTTTTATGGCTGTTTTTTTTTTTATCTCTCTGGAAAAATAAGAGCAGAAAAGCACTCTAAAAATTAGCTGTTTGAGACGTGGTAAAGGGGAGATAAAGTAGATCAGATCTTTTAGGTCACTTACTGTCATCTGGATGAGGTTATAAATGACCATCACGGCTGACTGTGGGCTGCCCAAGGTGTAACTGTGCACATCTTCGTCCTCCCACTGTCCCCAGCCACCAAACTCCCCTCCGCCTGCCAGCAGCCCACTCCTGCTTCTCCAGTGGACATGCCTAGGACCAAACTCCCCAGGGCTGTACCAGCTCTGTATTTACAGACTGCATTTCCACGACCTCCTGTGTGCTGTGAAGGCACTAGGCTGTCACTGCCGTCTGAAGCCCTTGGAGCCGGCGTGTCTCCTGAACCCACACGAGCTGGTGTGTGTGTGCAGCTCTCCAGGGAGCCTCTCCCCTGCCTTCTCCTGCCACAGGGTGGTTGAGGCAGTGTTACAGTTCCCACTGACTTGTCCTTTCTCAGAGCCAATGTGCATTCCTTAGCGTGACCACAGTAAAACCCAAATGACATTAGCAGGTCAGGAGAAGACCTGCTTGTTCATGAATAATGGGAAAGAAACAGGTTGGTTGGTTTGTTTCTCTGGTGACAGACTCTCATGCTTGCAAAGCTGTCAGAACTCTGCAGTACCCTGTGAATAGCAGACCCATTTTATAAGGGTAAGACAAGTCTAGAAGCTGTCTCACTCAGCAAAGTGTATGATTCCATGTAGATGCTAAATATTATGTGTAAATACTGCTAATATTTATGAAGATACAGAAATCATAACTGTATACTCGGTTAGGGGAGGAAAGAAAAAAAGAATTTTCCTGTCTTTGAGACAACTCTCCTTATATCAATATGAACCTGTGGGAAGTCTCGGGAACAGATTCTGTTTATAGGGTGAGATAACACAGCTTATACTCGCCTCCTCAGCACCAAAGACACCTTTTTTTTTTTTTTTTCCTTCTCATATGTGGAAAATGTAGAGGGAACAGTGGGAATAGTAAAATGAGGAACTTTTGGAGGTTTCTACCCTGGTGTGCAACTATAGTTTCTAAGATTTCTGGGAGATTTTTTTTTTCCCTTCAGTTCAGACTCTTCCTTGGAGGAGAAAGGTGCTTTTCATTTGAGTTTGCCTTTTCCACATCTTGCAATTTGACTCTTTAGATGGCCTGAAGAAGTGTTGGCATTCAGAAAGACTTGCATGAAGATAGTTTGCAATATACAATTTACAATACAAATCTAAAAGCCACTTATATGTAAGTTGTCATTTATTGAAACCCAAAGCGTTAACCACTACCACGTGTAGGGGTTAAAAAGAGGAGGGAAGTTCAGCTGTGTTTTCTGGCACCAGTATCAGTACAAATAGAAAATTAAAAGCAACTATGTTTTTCATTAACACTTCTTTTTACTGAAGCAACAGATAACATTTCACTCTAAGGGCAGAAATAATGCCAGTTTTGCATATCAGCTACAGTGGAGGGATCCAAGACAGTCCAAAGGCAAATAGGAAGTAGGGATAGAAACATTCGACAAAGTTGAATTCTTTTTAAAGAAGTAACCATCTCTGGCTTCTTAGTTTTAATGGAAACATGAAACTAGTCACTCAGGTTTTATTTTATTCCAACTCCAGTTGTAGTGAGCAACATTAAGTGCATCTTTCTTTACCAACTGATGTTGTTAAATATCTGGATGGCAATAGGGATTATTAGGATGAGTTATAGTAGGTTTGGTCCTCCTCTTCGATTTCAGACAGCACAGCTGGTTTAGTTCAGTGTAGTATGTTTGGTGCAATAGAAATTGCCGTGCTTGATATTCCTGATAAGACTGTAAACTGACTGAAAAAAAAAGCCCTCCTGAGAGGGTACAACCTCGCTAATGCAATTTTCCTTTCAGTTTTGCTTAATAATTGTGCAGGCCCAGATTACAGAGCTGCTGATTTTTACTGACTTAGAGAAGTTTCAGTGAAGTCTGAAAGATCTGAGGGTAAATCTCTCTGGCATTGGTTAGTTGGCTGTAAGCATTTTAACTTCTGAGTTTTTCCCACCCACATCCCAGCCTGTAGTACCCTAATCCCAAGTGGCCAGGAGGATGGAAAGGAAGCTCCAGGAGTGAGGGGAAAGTACCAATTCATGCAGCACGTCTCCATATGAGGTGTTTCTTTAACTGGAGAAACTCTCGTGCCTTCATTTCTAACAACTCCCAGGTGAGGGATGAGGATGGTGAGCGCTTCATGGGCAAATTTTGGTGGCTGATGAGCTCAGGCCCTTACGCAGTGGAACATATTTTCAGGGTTGCTCTTACCGTACAAGCACACTCTTAGCTCATGCTTCATAACCTCATTTGCTTTGCACTCCACATAATGCTTAAGTAGTAGTTACAGTCTTAAAACATTCCCAAACAGACTAAACAAAATACGATCTTCCTGAGCAGGAACAGTTCAATTGTAAGGAATTTTCCTGAGTGACAGAAATGTTAACTCCAGCAGTCATGAAATTCTTTTTATTTCAGAAACACTATTTTTCCTCTTGTGAAAAGTATAAGGTCAAATAGTTTACAAAGAGAGGCTTCAGCAGTGCTTTGTTTCCTAAAGAGAGTAATTTACGCATCCGAGGGTTTCTTTAAAATGTTAAATTTAAGTTTTCCCGAAGTGAGTTTGCATAAATGACTAGCCAAGAATGTCTCCCTTGGCCAACTTAATCTCTGTTCCCTTTTGGCAGAGCTCAGACAAAATAACTGAGGTTGGGCAAGAGATAGGCCTTGTGAATTTGGGGTTTAATGAACATGAGAAGTACAGAACAGACAATTTTGGCAGATTTCATTGTAACACTTGAAAATGTTTGTTTTTTCTCATATCAAGGCTGCAGAGAGGGTAGAAGTGTTTGGTGAATTTGTCTTGCACTAGAATTACACTTTCTATTTATATAATCAACGTTAGGTCAGTTGTTTATAGCAGAATTAATGGCCTTGTTTATACAGTGTTCTGCTTTTATACATGTAGTTCTTCTCTCCTTCCATTTTCAGGTTAGGGTTTGGTTTTGTTTTTCTTCATAATACACAATTGAAACAAAATGTGTTGAGCATGTGTGTGTTATTCCAGACTTTATTAGAATTCACTACTTGTATGAAATACAACAATATGTGGATGCACTTATGTAAACTATGGTCAGAGGGGGTTTTTTTGTGTTGGTTTGGTTTTTTTTTCTTCTTTTCTCATCATCATAACTTTCTCTTCTGCCAAGATGTTTTTGGCAGTTTTTAAAAGGTTTGCCATTAAAAATGTTACAGACCAAATGGTTTTTAGAAACTTTATTGAGGGCACTACTTAAACAAAGGAAGAGTTGGCGCTGAACTCCTTTCAGCAGAACTTTGCACTGGGAAGTGTTGATATCTGGAAGGGAATAAGCAAAGACAACAAAACAGTAGGAATGACGCCGATTGCCGTTTTTAAAAGGAATTAGAAAATCCCTTGTAAAGCAAATATTTTTTTGCTCCTGTTCTTGTGTCACCTCAAATGTACAAAAAGATGTACCAGAGGCAGGATTCCTGCTTATTCTCCCTCCCACTCTTATTTTTATTCTTTTTTCCTTCTGCCCCCCCCTTTTTTTTAATATATATGTATGTATACCATGTATCATATGACGGGGAACATCCAGTCTATGTCATTATACCAGCGTGTACTTGAAGCACTTATTGTCTAAATACAGCTGATAACGCGGTGCAACATAATGGAAAATTACGTGCTTTTTAATTGTTGATAGGACTGTGACTGCTCCTGAAGAACTGTTAAATATTAGTAGGAATATCCAAATATTTGTTTGTGGTTTATCTTTCCTGTAAAACTACACACCTCTCTAAACTTGCTAATGTTTAACAGCAAAAGTAGTATTTTAATAAAGACAGTAATGAATTTGATGACTGCATTTTTTTCCCCTTCCAGAGCAAGAATTTACTCCTTGAGAAGATTAATGGTGGTCCAAAAAGAAGAAAGAGGGTAACTATCAGAATATTTTATAGCCCCTGTATCATCTAGAGAGCTAATAAGAATTAAAATCATAGTGTTGAAATGAAGAGTTAGTCTAATGCATCTGCATTATACCTTAGATAATGCATAAAGTCAGGAATCTTTGTGGTAAACTACTGCGCAGGCTTCAAGACTGTCCACCAAGTACAAGATGTATTTCTCTAAATAGTCTGTTGCTTTCAGAAGATGCACTTCAATGCAGAGCATTAATTTAAAAACTTTATATTATATGTGTTTTTAAATTGATCCTACTTGCATGAAACCATTTAAAATTATTTAGAACAGAATTTATAAGTTACCTACTAAAAATATTGGTAAAATTAATTACCACTATCCATGCATGTTTTTGGGTGTAAATGACAGTAGAACTGGTTCTTTAGCTGATGTAATTTGATTCACTCTCAGATTTAACTTGGTTTAAACTCCTGTCTCTGTGTCCCACTTGCTTGAAAGACAAAGATTGAATGGGTTCTCATCTTTCTGCCCCTGAAACAAGGAAGGCAATGCACATATCACGGGGAACCTCTGCACAGTCCACCTCACCATGTTCTCTCTTTTTTTGGTAGTGCCAGCCTTTCTTTTATCAATAAATCACTTTCAAGCAGAGTCAAAGTCTTCAGGTTTGCTGCTAATACATATATTTTTTCCAAGAAGTAAAATTCTAGCTCTCTGCCAGAAAGTAGCTTTTCAAAATATGACAGCACAGTTTATATTGTAAATGAAGTAAATTTGGTTGAAAAAAACTGAAGTGTAAGTGAGGATTATATATTTATTTATTTGTTTAACTCTCAAACTTAAAGTCTTTGCTAGAAAGGGAGAAGATGAGTTGATTTCTTACAGGTTTACACATCACTAGTAATAAACACTGTTCAACCATAAGTTAATGATCTATCTTGAAGTTTGTGACTGCCTCCTTCTTACATTTGATTTTCAAGTTTGTTAGTGGAAAAGGAAAAAGGGTAGGCACCTGATTCTGACTCTAAAGTAAGTAGAATTTACTCTGGAAATAGTTATGTGGAATATTTACTAATAACTAGAACAGCATGTTAAAGTAGGATTAGTGCAATGTATACATGAGGGAAAAAAGAAAAAAAAAATTCTGTCTGTGTGCTGAATGATGTAATCAGACACAAAAGGAGTAATGGCTGGAGAGACATGACAGCCACGTGGCCAGGGGCAGCCCAGAATTTTGGAGGTGAAGCTTCAATTTCTTGCTTTGCAGGAGATTTACTTTCTTAGCACAGATTTATTTTCTTCCCCAGACAAAAACCAAGACCACAGGCAAGTCACTTAATGGTAAATTCATTATTATTTAAAATATTTCATTGTTTTGCAGGAAATACTGTAATGATTGCTACTGCTTTAATAAACAATTCAGAATTTTCACTTTATCAGCAGAAGGGTAACCTAGAGCTGTCAGCAGCAGACTCTGTTTTTCCAGAAACCAGAAATCCCCGGATACCCCTCCTGTCTCTGCGGTCCCTGCCACTTCTCCATGCCCTTCTGCACAGACAGAGAGTTTAGGGAGGACAGCCTCTGGCAACAGATGGGTCTTTTGGGTCAGAATGTCCCAATTTTAGCTTAAAGCAAGTCCTTTATAACTGTGTATGCAGTAACTGCATTGTATCTATACAGCACTATAGGGTAACAGTCACAGAGGTACTACTGGAGTCTACAGAACTATATATTCTGTGTGTATATTCATATATTTATATGGATGCATATAAACACACAGACAAGCATACATAGACATAATGAGTATATATAGCAAAGGTATGTATTTGCCGTTTGTTACCATGTTATATTTTTTGCAGCATTCCCAGTGCAAGGCAAGGAAGCACCTCTAATTTCACTAGCAGCAATCCTCTTTTTTAAATTTCTGTGCATGAGCATAGGTAGCCCTGTCCAGAATGTAATATCCCAAACACAACAGGAGTGCTGCTGTAGTAACAGAATCGCGTTGCCACGGGCTTGGAGCTGTGCACAGAGGTACTCGGGAACCGCGTTACTTGGACTACAGCACAGCTGTATAGGATTAAACATTTTTTAGTCAAATCAGCCAAAATTTTTGTATTATATTTTGTGTTCTCTTTTGTCGGTTGAGAAGGATTCAAATTTTTATGTATTCTCATTCTCTTCTTTATTTCAAAAAGTAGCAAGCAATTACCAGTCGAAAAAAAGACCAATTAATCTTCCTAAGAATCTTCAAATAATTCCTAGAAGTTTATGCAACAGGCAGATTTCACTAAATTAACATTAAACTGAACTTCTTTAAACAAACACAAACAAATCATTTACATGTGTCTTATTTTTAACAATTTAAAGCACTAAATTAGTGTTAGTTTTATTTTCAAAGATTTTTCCACATTCATTTCTGGTTCTTAATATTTTTATGTTTTCACTTGCAGCAGGCAAAGCACTCAAAAAACAATAGAAGAAAGTAAAAGGGCTGCTTTACACTGTGATTAAGTATTAATGATGGCATCTACAAATCTAGAGAAACCCAAGGGCTTAAACTCCAAGACAGACAGTCCAAATCTTTTCCAGAGATTTGACAAGTACTTGGGATATTTAAAAATAAATATTTCATGCCCAATTGAAAAGCTTCCCCCCCTCCCACCCCTCCCATAGTTTTTTGACTCCAACATTTTGGTAAAAGCAGCACAGAAATATCTCAAGAAAAGTAATTTCTGTGATACAGCCAGGCTGACAAGAATCAGGAGATACTGGAAAATTTGCATTCCTCCAACGTTTGTCCTTAGGCAAACAATTTTTATTGGCATCAAAAACCAGCACAGTAGAATTTTTGTCTCTATCTGGGAGGGAGAAAGTATATACTTGAATTTTGTTTACACTGACACTGTAACAGGCCAGAAAGTGTAAATAATTCTGAAGCTCCACTAAACTGCTTGATACTTGCAAATACAGTAAATGCATTTTATTCCATGAGTATAGATAAAATTCAAGTGTAGGCTTTCTACTTTACTATGATCTCCAAAGAGTTTTGAGATAGGATCTGTTCATCTTCAGTCTTGCGTTGTGCTGCTTACATGGTGCAAAGTGAAGCTAAACCCTCTCTGGGGATGATCTTTCCAGCATTCCCTTGTTCTGGCAGCGACAGGAGAGCCATTTCCTATGCCAGAACCTTGCTTGGCTCTGCTTCTGTGCCAGCAGTTTTTTATCTCAGCATCAAGAGAGGAGGCAAGGAGGGGTTTCCTGGAGAGGAGATGGGCTGAAGAAGAGACTTGGGTCAAAAATGGTATCGTGGTATCTAACTTGTCTCCCAGCATAAGGTCCATCAGAGCTAAAGGTTACCTGTACTTCTCTAACAAGTTCTGTCCTGCCTCAGGAATTAGGGAGTTAGATTTGCTGCTGCTTCTCTGCTGAGCTGAGGAAAGTAGGAGTGCAGCAAAAAGACAAATGTTTAAGTCAGATTGTCCTATATTCTTGATTGTCCTCCTTCACTTGTATTTTTTTTAGTGGATTGGATTGAATTCTTGCACACAAAAAATATTAGAAAACAAAACATTGATTGACTTTTAGATTTACTCTCTGGGGGCAATTTCTTTTTTATTTCTTTTTTTTTCTTCAGTCTGCAAGTATTTGACAGATAAGAAATATATACATGTATCCACTAATTCTAGTTACCTTTCATTTGCTCCTCTGTTTCTAATAAGTATAAATAATTTTAAACTTTTTCAGAGTGTGAACCCCTATCTGCAAGGACAGCGACTGGATAATGTTGTAGCAAAGAAGTCTGTTCCACATTTTTCAGATGAAGACAAAGATCCTGAATAAGTACAATAAAAACGAATGATGAAAATTCGTGCCATCCTCTGCTAGATCGTAATATTGCTTATATATAATCATCTATTAAAATCCTTGTGAATGGCAGCATGTTTATTATTTATAGAATTATAGATGAAAAACAGCTGTATTTATAACAGTATGTTCTCCTAGATAACAAAAATATGGTTCTGCTTTTTGTTAAGTTATGGTAAAAGGACATTTCTGTTGTTTTTATTTTAGTCATGGAGCAAACTTTAAAAATGTTAGTCATTTTAATAGCTAACGTGAGGTAAATGGTCTTAATGAGCAGCTTGTAAATAGGAAGATGTTAAAAAAATGCCCGATCTGATTCCAACTTTTAATCTTAAACGTTACTGTGTTTGACACATGAAAATTATAGTTTTATGTTTTGTTCACAAATATTGTTACTTAGCAAAGACAAAGTATTTATTTTACCCAGAGAATTTTGGCTTTTGGTCTATTTTAATAAACATTTAAGCAATCTACAAGGTTTGCAAGTGACATTTTCCAAAATATTTCAGAGGCTCGTTTGTCTCAGTTATTGCTGTGCAAATTTAAAAATTAAAGAAATGCTTTTTGACTCAGTCCACTGGAATATTTTTCTGTTAGTTTTAATCTTTCCATGTCTGCAACTTTCCTGAACACTTGCACATCTTTCTTATCAATGGTACTGTTGTGTGGAAATTAATCTCCCCTGCTGTTCCTTGTCTTAGTAACAAGCAGCGTTTGTGCATTATAATGTGCTTAAATTATGTGTTCCTGGGATATTATAAGTGAAGATGGAGACATTTGTCTATGTTAATAAGGTTGTGTCAACATCCTCGGAATCTAAATACAGGATATGAAGGTCATTACAGTTGATGATCTTTTCAAAAACTATGATATTCTAATAACACTATTAGCTATCACTACTCTTGAAGTTGCTCCAGGAAGCTTAAATTGCCTTTTTGCCCCTAGAAGATTGAAGAACTTTACATTCCAGAAAACTGAGCTCTCCCTTTCTGAAAGATGAGAACATAAAATTACCTAAAATTTTGTTATATTCAGTGTGCATCTGAAATGTTTCAAGCCATGTGTATGGGGCATTGGAATTATGGAAAGGGGCATTAGCTTACAGCTTTGAACTTCAAATCTATGGAAAAAAAACGTCGTTTCCTTTCCCATCCTACAGAAACACACAGTAAAATAATGATGACCCTTTAGAAAAGACAGATAAGGTCCTTACAGAAACTAAAGGTCGTAGCTACATAAGGTTACAGTTAACAGCACAAATATGACTGTGTATGGCATTTGCTTTTTCTATCCCAGCACTTAGTGATTTGTAATAAATAATGTCTGCAGAGAGTCAGTCCTCTCACGTCATTTACGGGTAGATTGCAAAACTCCGTAACACTCTAGGCTGAACTATCTTGTCTGTCATCATATTTCCTCTTAAAAAAAAAATCTGGAAGAGAAAACTAAATAGTATGTAATGCAGTGAGGTTTATACTCACAGGTGACAGGAAATTGAAGAGTTTGTGTGAATCGCAGAGCTCCTTCCACTTCCAGTGCCTGGAATGGGATGGGAGTAATCCAGCTGTTCATAGGAGAGAACATGTATTCTCTGCTTCTTAACCTCACTCTTTTTATCTGCCCTTCTGCTTAGTCTTCAGGTTTTGAGAGTTGCAGAGTTGCAAAGGTTGTCTCCAAATCCAGAAAAAAGCTATCTATCATGGCATGAATCTGAAATCAGAGCCCGCCGATGCCCAGTAGCCCCGACTATGTGGAATGGCCGTTCCTCCCGCCTACCCATAGCTGCAGCCGCTGCCAGGGCTGCCACAAGGCTTCCAGTTGGTCAGCGGCTGGATTTCCATTCCAAAGAAACTGGTGTTTCTTCAGGGACTCAACTGTCTTACTGATACTTTTAAAGTCATCTGAGCTGCGTTCTGTCCTTATTAGCTCCAGTAAAATCCGTATGAATCACAAAATGAAGCAACCATTAAGGCAATTAATTTCATTTTTTAAGCTCTTAGTAAGGACCTGCACATAATAAGGTGGTGTGTACAGTAAATGGGGGCCTTAAAAAGGGAGGGATGAACAAATATTGTTTGCTTAATAGAATCAGAAATCCCACGGCTGGTTTTGTGAAGCACTTTAGCTCCCTACACCCCCTGTGTGGGGACACAATAATCCAGCACTGCAAACTGCCCAGAGCAGGGATGCCCGGTGGCTGCCTGTCACTGGGGCCTGAGGAGCTGCCTTTCTGTCTATGATAGAACTGCACAGGGCAGGCAAAGGAAAAATTACACAATTTAGAGATGATTTTGTCTTTAAATGCAAGCAAAAAAACCCTTTTAAATGGCACAATACAATGATGCATCTTACAGGAACTGTCTGCTGGAAGAAACCAACCGCATAGCGGTGAGCAGCCATCTGCTGAGTCCATCAGGCAGCTTTAGTGTTTCACCAGGAAGGCTCAACAGCACTATTGTGAAATTTTAATAAAATATAGCTATTACGCCATGATAATGAGATTAATTATTCTAATTTCATTTTCATAGTAGAGCTGCCTTTCTGTACTGGGACTGGTAGTCCCATATTAAAACAAACAAACAAACAAACAAAAAGCTAAAAGAGTTGTCCCTCCTACTGCTGCAACAATCCAACAACAGTCCAAACGTGTATGTAGTTTTTTTATAAAGAGTCATCACAGGGCTGGTCTTTCAGAATCAATGGACAGATATCAACTATTCCCCTCACTCCACCAAACCAATATTTACAAGAACATAAATAGCTGCTCAGCTCTTACAAGTATAATCACCCTTTTACATTTATGATGCATGTGAATTAAGGAGCATGAATATTGCTATTGTTGTTTAGAATTTTCATTAAATTAAAACATTTTAAGATTATTTTTAAATTTGCAAGTGTGTAATTACCTCTAACATATTTGAGACACAATGTGCTTCAAAGTAGCTATACAAAATAAAGTGTATTGCCACCAACACTGGTTTTGTCTGGTAAAGAAATATTTATGACCCTTGTTTTAAAAATGCACTGTGTAACTGAGCAGATTATAGCATTTGATTTGTGACACAAAACGTACTCTGAGGGTGCATGTTTGTGTATGTACATATATATATATGTATATTTACACACACACATACACTAACATGCACTTATTAAAAGATAATACAGTCTCACAATAAACTCAGCAGTAAAGAATATAAAGAGGCCAACCCATAGAAGAAAATAATACAAAAATGCTTAGTGAATTATTTAGGAGGGGAAATAGCGATACACTTCTTTTTATTGGCACATTTGCACTCACCTAACAAAACCATGCTGCTAATCTGTTCAGCAACTCATGAGCAAACCAAAGAAACATGGAACTAGTCCTAAGAATGTGATGACAGAGTCCTAAGAGTCACTTACAGGACTGTAAATCAAGCTGATCTGAAGCTTATTTTATCACAATATGATGAAGTGTATCTTCATCTGTTAAACTGAGGAAGGACACAGGCAGAAAGATGACTACCAAGTCAATTAAGTGTTTGGTTTCATTATGGACAAACACTCAAGCCCCTTTGTTTCCAAATGTCAGGAGTCGGGGATGAAGACAAGTATTTTTCTGATGATGAAGAGGAGACTCGAGTCCGTGCCCCCCAAATCAGGCCTCTCACCAGTTGCTGTATGAGAGTGTTGAAAAGGCTTTGTTTTCATTTTCATGCTGTACAAAAACTAATTTTTGAACATTTAAATTTGTTGGAAAAAGCCCATAAAAACACCAACCCAAAACAAACTTGGAATTTTCTGGCCTTTTTGCTGGTAAGCTCACTAAGCTGACTTTTATGTCATGTGTAATGCTGTAACACTTGTCCTGTGAATTAATTCTTATGCAAGTACTTCTTTTTTACATGCAAGTCTGAAATGTCTGGATCATTAGAACAAAGAGTTCAAAGATAACTTTTCAATCAAAGTCACAGACTCAGATTTATGGAAGGAGAAAGGGAAGGTAGGCAGATTCAGAAGATGTTACCATGACCACACAGCATTTTAAAATGTGTGAGGAAAGTACAGTTCCACGTGAACCATAGGGGCGATGAGTGTGTTCACTGTTTTATTAGCTAAGTGTGCTATAGGTAAGGTTTAAGGTACTTCTCCATCCAAGTCAGAAGCTATCAAGGCTATCAGAGGACATAATCTCCAGTTTGAGCCACCTGCATCCGAGGTTTCAGGCTAGTGGAGTTGACAATTAGATTGAATGATATTTCCACTGTTCTTGATACAAATAGGATGGCAATCTGCTACGCTTTAAAGAAAAGACAACAGCAACAAAAACCAATCAGAACATGCCGAATCCATTGCCACATGTATACATATGTATACACTTAAAAATTCAGTTTTGTTTGAAGTCACACAATTACCTTCAATACTCTTAAGTAAGTATCATGTTCAGGAATTATCTCAAATAATTAGTCTTCTTTTAAAATAAAAAATTACTGTGTCCTTAAGGGACACTTGTTTGTGGTGTCTGGACCCCAAGGCAGATTCCAACCATGAGCAAAGACTACAAGCTTCCTTAAAGTGCTCAGCCACTAACAATGACCTGCTTAGACGCAAACTAAATAAATATTAAAAGGAAATGTAGAAGAGGAGGGTGTGATTGCTATCATGAGGGACCCCATGAACCACAAATATGGCTGATTGACACAGGACTGGGTCCTAAGGCAAGATTTCCAAACATGAGACAATGAAAGGGTTAAATGAATTATTTCCCAGGTACATACACAGTTCAGGTCTACCACACTCAAGCCTTTTCGTGTCAGGTGAAGAATGGCATTGAATTCCAGTTCATTATCCCAATTCACCATGAGAAGCAAGTATGTAGTATCAGTTCAAGTTTGCTTTATTTATGATGCTGACTGCTCTGCTGTGCTTACATGGATCCTGATGGTTGGAAGAGCTGCTAGCCATGTGGTCAACACATGGGAGCATAGCAAACTTTAAATGATGTGAGTGTCATGGCAGCAGCATTACCAATTGGAACTAAAAGAGCTTAACAAAAATTCCTGTTTGACTAACAAGGTCTATTTTTATATAGGGACAGATGTGGGGAAAGGATCGGAAATGGTAGGAATTGAGAATGGCTTCAGACTTTAAGGATTCGGTAGACCTGAGTCATCTCTTTTTCTTTTTTCCTATAGTTCCTGTTACCAAAACCCATGGAATCTAGCTCCCATTGCAATGCAGGGGTGTCTTTTACATATAATCGCCCTGTTTCTTCATCCTACTCTGCTCTCCAAGAAAAACAGTGGTGGGAGTTGGTAGCTAAATTTCATTGTACAACTGAGTGAGGCAAAGGAGAAAGCACAAAGAAAAATAATGTGTTATTTGCTGCTAGCCTCAAACTCTCCCTCATTCCCTAACTGGTGTCATTCATTTACAGACCAGTAAGCCCTGATTTCAAATGTATAAACACTGTTACCCCAGATCCCATCAGGTTCCAAACCTAACCACTATATGACAACGTAAGTTTCTTGGGAGCCACCAAAGATCTCCGTTACAAATGACAGGGGTTTTAGGTCTGGGCATCTGAATATTTGTTAGATCATAGAATGCACATACAGCTTTGGTGCTGAATTCAGTCATAGTCTTTTTTAATTATTTTATTTATTCTGGAAACAAACAAACAAACAAAAAAACCCTCGCAGTTCTTCAGTGCACTGTCTACATTCTAATTCCCCAAAGTCCTGTAAAAGTGGCTGAAATTCCAGT